TTCCCAGGGACATATGCCACGTAAAATGTCTGCTTTTTGAGCTGTTCTTGTCCTGGTGGCCATGTCGCAACATGTTGTAGAGACCCACTGGGAATTTTACTGGCACTGCTCCATGGATGTGCTTTGATGAGTCCTGCACATTGGACCCACAACAGAGATGGCACAGTTCATATTTATCTTTTTGATTCCCATAAGTAGACCAAACACAGATGAGGCTGACTGTATCTTTAGTATATTTACAGAATACATAAGGAGCTTCTTCAGAATCCTGTGTGAGCTATTATGTTGCCAGAATATAATCTCAGAGCCACAGGAGTATCCCACTCCTGAATGCAGATAAAATTCAGCCATAACAACACGTGATAATCAGCTACACAGCAATATTTTCTTAGCATGAGCTATAATTTAAACCTCTGAATATTAATCTGGGAGGGTCTCAACAAGTATTGGTTTGTTTCTCCAACAAACACAAAGGCAGGAGATGCAGCATTAAAGAGAAGCATGAAACCAAGCAAAAACACTTAAAAGAATCAAATGCAATGATAAGAATGAAATTATATTTCAAAAGTATGTTAACTTGGACAGTGAGTTCTGAATTTCAAGACCAGTACAAAGAAATGTGTAAGAAGAGTGGGATTTTTAAAAATTATAACAATATAATTGTCTTCTAAGCAAAAGTAACAATGGAAGTAATCAGCCGAATTTGCTGGTCAAAGCCAGCTGAAACAAAAGCAAATACATTTATTATAATCATTACATGCCCTGACAGCCTTTGGAACTACTGCATGGCTATTGAAGGGAGGTTCACGGATATTTGCACAAGTGGTCATATTTGCTAACAGTCCTCTTAAACACTTTGATCTCTATTCATAAAATTTGTCTTTGAAACAGTTCAATAACACAGTGCAAAGTACTGTACCGGCAAGCTAGACATCCAGATACCTGTCCACAAAACCAGATTCCTGTGTGGAAGTTGGGCACTATTTAACTCCATTTGTCTTGTTCCTGATTTGGTACCATACCAGTGATGCTTTTCCAAAATATTTCTCTCTATAAAAAACAGAAAAGTTTTACTGGAGCTGCCCTGTCTGAGTCAGATAGAATTCTTACGAAAACACACACATATTTTTTCCTGATGAAGATATACTTCCCAAACTGATCTGCATTTTTATTGTCTCAGGACATTTGGGGAAGAAGCCTTGCTTTGAGAAATTACATACAACAATTTCAACCCATTATTGTTTGTCAACAGCTGGGTGCAGTGTCAGGAGCGAGAGCTGTGTGATCTCTGATCCACGGGAACACGACCAAACCTCACAATTCCTGGTCTGATATCCACATGGCTCTTCTCACACAGAGTAAAAGGGCGCTTTATTTTCCTCAACCCCGCAAGCCCCACCACATTAAGGCCCTGCACTCTCACAGGCAAAGGACTGGGGGACACATGGTTGTGAGACAGTTTGAATGCTTCTGATGATGTATGCCCCAAACTGAAGCCCCTTTTGCAGGGAAATGCAGCACAAGACAGCTGCTCTTTTCCCGAGGGGCACGTCGCAGCTTGTGGCGGGTGGCTGGGCGCTTGCTCGGGGAGAACAGTGCTGTTTTCAGGAGGCTGCGGAAGCGTGCAGCACGTTGCCTGCTCCTCCCATGTGACCAGTTACTGGCACCGTTCCCCAAGCATTTGCACCCTGCTATGCTCCATGCATGTGTACACAGGGGACTGGGACATTTCACTTCTGAGTAATTTGGAAACTTAAACCCTTAAAAAAAATTTCCAAAGTCTTGAATTCCAGCAAATGCCTGACTGCTTTATAGTCAGAGACGAAGTAAACTGTGTTGACCTGTTTTGATATACTCTGTTGTTACTGTGCAATTATAAAAGTGACCAAGTAACCTTTATGGTTTGTAATACGCAAGTCTGTGTTTCAAAATGTGAACTTGAAAGGGGATCAAAATGTACCAGATGTCAGTTTGCACACAAGTAATGCCACAGATGACTCCTCTAGCTGTCAGGGTCTTCTCCTGAAAAGCACAGGATGATGCAGATGATGCAGTGGTTTTGACAAAGAGTTTCACACTCTCTTTTTCTTACCATAGAAACCAAGAAAATATTTGTGGACATTCCATTAACATTTGCAGATAAGTAGAAATGAAAATTATTCTGAACACAGGATATGGCGAGGTGATCATCGCTTCCTCTTTAGCACAGTTCTGACTTAAAATGAAAAAATGCTTTGCTTAGGTAAGCCACACCACCAGTGAGACAGGCTCTCCCTGAGAGACAGAGCACTTGATAAAGAGCTGCTTAGTAAAGTCCCATTTTTCTTCCTGAAGGAAGAAAAAAGCAAGCACCTGTGTTGGTAGATTTCACTTAAATTCTGCCTCTCCTGAAAATCTGACACACACATCACATGGCACATTGTGATTGCTCTGTAGGAAAAGGGGTTTATGCTCACGTGGTGACAGAGATCCTAAATTCAGTGCAAGACTTCTAAGTACGTTGGAGGTTGTAGGCTTTAGTGACCATGTAGCATTTTTGTCCTCTCATCTAGTAAACTTCCCTCCTTTGCCTCCTCCTCGCTTCCCCTCACCCTGCCTGGTCTCTTTAGCACCTTTCTTACCCCAGCCATATTCCACCCAGCTGCCCCCCAAGCTTCTGGCTCCTCTCCTCTCTGCCTCTGCCTTTCTGCCACACACCAGCAGCCTCCCTGACAGCGTCACTGAACACACCTAACCCCCTGCTGCCATGTGCAAATGCTCAGGTGGACATGACCTGCTGCCCCACCACGTCCCACATTCGCTGCCTTCCCTCACATTCCCCGTCTGATCCCTTGCACCCTCAAACTCCCCCAAGTTTCATGCTCTGTTCTCTCTTCTTCCAACTGCCTTCAAATGCTCCTGGGCCAAACTAGCTCCTTTTCCCTCTTCAGCTTCTCAGGCCACTCATGACATTTGTATTTCATAGATTAAGCTACATACAAGAAGATTAAGAATAACTCATACACTGAAAGGAGTATGTACCTAAAGGAGTAACTATGTTATTTTTGCAGCACACATTTTATCTTTCCACTACTCAGGTAAGATGGGATGATATCAGATAAGAACAGTATCAGTAGCTGCAGATCCCTGCTTCTAACAATTTAAATGTCAAGAGATTTAGGCAGCACTTCAGGATGAAAATAAATGAAATGTGTATCAGAGAGGAATTAGAAAGGAAAAGAACATCTGTGAAAGTCTACTGAGGCTGCATCTGACCCCCTAGAGTAGGAAAATAGGCTCAGTGAGAAGCAAGGGGAAAGCTGCATTTAGTCAGAAGAAGAAAGAACTTCATCTTGAAGTAAAGCTTTCTGCCTTATTGTACCTGACAGATGTTGCTATCTGGGACCATCTAGCCCCAGGAGTTTCAATCTTGCACTTCATGGTACCTGTTTCTGATGAAAAATCAAATTAGTGGTAAATATCTGCTCACTAGCAATGCGAACACAAGATCTAGGCATTGAGTCAGTCTCATTTGATTTCCATTTACTTTACAGAGCAGATTTTCACTTTTGGATAACTGCTTAATTTAAATGGATCTGCACAATACACAGTCCTTTCCAAATATAGTTGCTGTCTGACTAGGATATCATTCAAAAAACACAAAGACAAACAGAGGTTTAGGGAAGGGGTTGAGTAACATAGACACAAAAGACTACATTTTGGTTTGCCACAGACTTTAAGTACAGACCAATGCCCAGTTGCACAGCTACAGGAACAAAGCAGGGATCAGACTGTAACACAGCAGCTATGTCTGTGCTAGGAAATTAAATGGGACAGGAAATGTTCCTTTGGCATTGCAACCAACAGGCACAGAGCGGCCTATGTCCATATTATTAAATTCTCAGCCTCCCAAAAAAGGTGACCGCATGCAAACTGCTTACTGGGAATAGACTTTGGTCCATGCTTAACTCTGCCTACGAACTGTCTGGGGAAAGGCTGGTTGGCATAACTCAAAACCCTGCCAGGAGCCATTCTAATAATTTAACAGTATAGACAATTTAGCTCCAGTACCCACGAACGTTTCCTGGCACTCTTTAATCTACCAGCCAGTGAGTC